TCTTCTGTTGAGCACAACAGGAACAAAAACATAAGAGGAAAGCCTCTGTGAGTTCACAACTTCCTGAGTTTTCCATGTCTCTCCTTGAACTTCAGAGCAACAGGCAGAAGGATACCATCTTATAAACCACAGAGAGGACTCAGAAATTCCCTAAGCTCCTGGCTAAGGAAAAAGTCAAAGTAGACTAAATACCTCCCATTCCTATCAGATCTTGAGAGGAGCTTGTGCAAAAGCTGGAGGGACTGACCTGCAGGAGCCACCTGAGAGGGTGCCCATGATATCAGGGTCATCCTGGGCTCCTCCTCTATGCCTGTTCATAGTTCCAGCCAGGAAGCAGGAATGTCTTAGTCATCTTCAAATATTGATGTTGCCAATGCACTGGTCAGAATGAACTGGATGCTGGGCTGGGCCAGTCATTCATTGTTGGCCCTGAACAAGTAAAATAAATTCTCTCATCTTTGTCTCATCAGCTTTAAAGTTCAGATAATAATAGTATTGTCATTATGAAGTTACTATTAAGGTTAACTGAGATAATGCATACTAAAGCACATGATAAATACACAATAAATGCCAGCTCTTATGATCATTTTCTTTGTATACTCCAACAAAAGGTAAATATATTTATAATCATTCATGTTGACAGAGAGTTGAGAGTGAATGAATGCCTCAGTTGATGGATTAATAAATTCCTCGAAACTGTAAAGACCTACTTCCTCCCTGAGAAAGACCCAAGCTGTCCCCTCAGAAAAACACAACTCTGTGATACAAATTTCAATCCATAACCTAATCCAAGTTTGTTCCCTCTGTGTTTAACACATGTTAGCAGACACCTCCACAGGCTGGGCTTCTCTCAGACTCTTATGAAAGTGGCCACTTGTAGAGGATCATTCTCAATGTTACCTCCTGCACACCTTGCCTACCCATCCCTCCAACCCCAGTTTTTATTACACATACAATCTGCCCTACAATTTTGGACACATTTCTTTCCTATGTCCCAAATGTGATTGCACCTCTAGGACAGAGGTTGTGTTATTTACTTCTCCCCTCTCCTCGACCATTCAGAGCCTAGCACAGGACTGGATGCAGAGTAGGGGTTTCTTAGATGTCAGATTCTGAAACCTGGCCTCTTTCATATAGACAAAAAGACTACTGAGGTCTCCCCAAGACTAATACCTTGTCCACAGTAGTTTTCTTTCTCGATCCTTTTACTCTTGCGTCAGGGAAAAAGGGAGCTAATAGAGATTAAGGATCTTCCTTAGTTCAAGCCTCTGACTACTTTATTTACACAGAACCAGCCCAAATCAATAACAATAAATTAATCAAATTACCAATTCTACAAATGGTCATTCAACAACATTAAAAGATAAGTAAAGTAAAAAATTAGGAAATAATGGAAGAATAATTCTTCTACCACTTGGTAAACATAATCCATTGGAACTATTTCTTCCTCAAAAATATTTGATAAAATTTGCCAATCAAGCCATTTGTGTTTGGAGTTTTCTTTATGAGAACACTTGAATTATAAATTACATTTCTGTAATTGATATAAGGCACGCACATGCTACTTATTTGAGGATTATAGTCGCCTGTGACCAGTTCTCATCCTAAGGGAAGGATGATCAATATGTGGTTCAGTTCATAAACACTCATATACACACACAATCATAAATAACATGCATGCGCACACACACACACATCCATGAACACAAAGGCACGCAAATCTACAAGCATACAGGCAGATCCACCAAATGCAGATTTCCAGCTCCCTCTGACCCCAAGCTCTTCACTAGTGACCTCAAACACCTTCTGCTCCAGACTGCTGCCCAAATCCTCAGCTTCTCTTCAGGAGATCTGGTATCCAGACAATTTGGAGAAATATCCGTGGCCTCAGATCACCTATAGACTTTCGTATTGCTTAACAAACTCCAGGGAAATGTCAAAATAGAATATTTAGTTACCAATGAGAGAACTTAAACAAACTTCCCAAGCTTCTGGCCTGTTTCTTACTCTCCTTTGGGGAGCTGTGTGTCCATGAGCCAGAGGGACTGAGGTCCCAGGAGATGGTGTCCCCAATGCCAGTGATGACCTGGCCTTCTTCCTTTTTGGCATGGTTCCAGCTTAACAACCATTAGTGATTCTGATATTTAAAGTTTATTGCAGATGTGGTGACCAAATAGCGATTTTCTAATTCTATAATTTCTTCTGCAATTATCAGTTGTATTTTGTTCTTGTGCCCTGGCTGCACCCTGGAATCAGCCATTTTTCTAAGTAACATAGGCCACTTTTAGAGGAGAATGGTAAAGAGCAAATTTGTCATTAGGCAAGTTCATTTCTTTAAAGGATTCTGAATGGTCTCAGAGAACATAGTTGGGAAATTATATATATATATATATATATATATATATATATATATATGAACTTATATATATATATATATATATATATGAACGCAGGAAGTAGACACTACAAAGTAATAAACTAAAGATGGGTTACCCATAGGAGGTGGGTCAGAAAGATTAGGGGATGGGAACATTATAGATATTGACACAAATAACGTATGCATTTCAATCTATTTATACATTTGAAAAACATGGTTCAAGTTGATATCTCCAAATCTAGTTTGACACCATAAAGTTCTTTCCAGTCTCTTCTTTTCCACGCAACATGGTGCCTTTCCTGATAGTGAGGAGTCATTCCCTTTTCCACAATATGTTTACTTATTTGTTGAATCTTTGAATATATGTCATGTAATTTCAGAACCTTGAACTCACATCACTGTTAATGAAGAACTAACTGCAGCTCAAAAACTATGTTTAGATTTTTTCTTTATTTTGAGATTAAATAGACGAAATTCTGTGTTCAAGAATTACTTAGGTTAGTTAGTTAATATTCCATTTTAGTCCGATTATGGGATTAATTTGCAATGTAGTTAGGTTCATTTGTTTTGTTTTATTCTATTTTGCTTTATTCCCCACCCTCTTCTGTTTATTTTTTAGTAGGTAAAAGATAACGTAATCAAAACTAGAGAAATAAACATACTCATCTCCCTACCTTTTCTACCACATTCCTACTCACCTCCTGTAGGTGAGCAATCTCATTAGTTTCTGATTTGTTCTTTTTCTATTTCTTTTTGCTCAAACATCCAGTATATATATATATATATATATATATAGTTTGCTTCCTTTTCACTTTTGCACAAAAAGTAGCATGCTATGCTTGTTTTCTTACACATTGCTTTTTTCCATTTAACAATATATCCTGGAAATCCCTCCATATTGGTTCATGGATGTCATTATAATTATTTTTTCACAGCTGCAAAGTACCCGATTGCATTGACATTCCATAGAGTTTTCTTTTGGAGTCTTTGGATGAGACAGTGGTGATGAATGTACTAAACACCACTGAATTGTATAGCTCAAATGGTTCCAAGGGTAAGTTTCATGTTACGTATATTATACAACAATTTAAAAAATTGAAGAGAAAGTAAGAGGAATCTCTACATAAGACACAGAAAACAATTATAAAATAATAATGTATGATTAAAAAGTTAATAGAGGGGAATGGGGAAACTAAATATATATTTAACTTATCAAAAAGGAGAAAGAAAATACACAATAAATATACAACAGATGTCCAACAGAAAATATATAGTAATATGAAAAATATAAATTAAAATGTATTATGATTGTATTAGATGTTAATAGATCAAATTCTCCAGAAATTTAATCAATGTCAGTCATCATAAAAAGAGCAAAACCCAACTTTACTCTGTTAAGAGCAGAGTCCTCACAAATAAAATGACAGAGACTAGCTTAAAGTGATGGAAAATAAATACCATCAAAATACTAACCAAAACAAAACTGGTGTACCTATACTAATATCAGAACAAGTGGATGAGAGGTTAAGGTAGGAGCCATTGCTAGAGATAAAGAGAGATATCTCCTAATTATAAATGCAGTAGTGTGCTTTTAAATGCATGAAAAATGATGCTCTCTCTCCCTTTTTTTTTTACCATGTCTTGCTTTGTATGATTTTCCAATTTCCATAGTGTCACGGTTCCCATTATGCCTGATTTCAACCTACCAATATGATGTCATTGAATGTGGAGTTGGAAGAGATGTGCACAATCACCTTTCAGCCAATGCAAGCCATCTTCAGCACACTACTACCTAAAAGAATGAGTCCACCATGAGCAGATCATGACGATAAATTTACATGTCCTCAATAACATAGTATAAAACATACATTAGCAAAAAATGACATAACAAGAAGGATAAAAAAACAAATCCACAATGATATTGTGCAAAATATTTTCCATAAGATTATGTACATATCTTATTAGAAGTTACAAACAAGCAGAAGAAATTAATTAGGGATTAAGAACATGTAACATTCCAATTAGCAAACTTGGTGTAGTTAGCATAGTAACAACAATATTCATGATAGCAGAATGTATATTATTTTAAAATTGTGTACAGCTGTCAAACACAATAATTTTAGAAGACACATCTCACTCTGCTCACGACTGCAATAAAAGTATTTAGTGATTGTCACTGAAAGAATTTAGCCCTATTGACAAATATTTCTAGGGCATGTTTTATATCTCTGTTCCTCAGGCTATATATGAAGGGATTCAGCATGGGGGTAACTGCTGTATACACGACTGAAGCAATTACGACTTTGTCATTGGAGTCCCATGATGTGGAGAAAAAGTAGACACCTGCAAGTGTCCCATAGTACAATGATACCACAAGGAGATGGGAGCCACAAGTAGGAAAGGCTTTAAAGAGTCTCTTGGTAGAGGGGTCTCTTAGGATGGTGGTCCCTATACAGATATATGAGCCCAAGACACCAGTCAAAGGCAGAATCAAAAGCATTATTCCCTCAGTGAAGATGGCCAGCTCATTGAGAGAGATGTCTGAGCAGCTTATCTTCAGGAGTGCAGTGAGGTCACAGAAGAAGTGGGGAATGGTATTGTCAGCACAGAAGGACAATTGGACCAAGAGGAGGGTGTGCAAAAGGGCATGTGCACAACAGAAGAACCAGGACCCAGCTACTAGTGAGACACACAGCTCCTGCCTCATAAAAGTTGTGTAGTGGAGTGGCTGACAGATGGCCACATACCTGTCATATGCCATCACTGCAAGAAGGAAATTGTCAAGACAACCAAAAACTATGAAAAAATACAACTGAGAAATGCACCCCATATAGGGGATAGATTGTTGCTGAGTCTGCATGTTCTTGAGCATCTTTGGAACCGTGATAGATGAAAGGGAAATGTCAGAGAAGGCCAAGTGGCTGAGGAAGAAGTACATGGGGGTGTGTAGGCGAGAGTCCAGCCTGATGAGCAGGATGATTAGCAGGTTCCCCATCACTGTGGTCAGGTACATGCATAGGAATAAGACAAAGAACAGGTCCTGCTGCTCCAGCGTGATGGGGAGCCCCAGGAGGAGGAACTCTGACACGCTGCTCTTGTTCTCAGACCTCATACTGCTCTTCTGTATGCTGGGGGTGAATAAAGCTCAGGCAGATCAGGAAACTAGAAAGGATGATCATGACCATCACATCTCATACTTTAATTCTCTGTCACAAACTCTGAAAACAATTAATTTTTAGCTACACTCTAATAATTACTCACATATAGGGATGCAGGCATCTGCTTTCTACCTAGTCTGGCTCCAGAAAAACATCGCACCCAAAAGCAGCAAACAACCCCTCATTGCTAAGAATCAAGAGGGCTTTCCCTGTTCAACAATTATATATTTAACATTGAATCTGAACATGGACCTCTACTAAGGACTGAGAATACCACAGTGAGCAGAAAGGCAACGCTCCTGCTCTCTGTGAGCGTAGATCTTGGTAAGGATAGAGGGATAATCTGCTACACGAAAATAGAGACACATTGTAAAAATTCTTTGTGGCAGCAACAGCAAAATAGCCTCTGAAAACTGTTATCAGTTGTTCTTTCCTTTTAGTAAGGTGAGGCTCCAGTGCTGAGGTGTGGTTCTTGGAGCATCGTCACACTTCTCTTGTGAACCTGGCTGGGTCCCAGTGACCTAGAGCTGTAAACTTGTGGTCGGTGTAGAAGTGGGTGGTCGTTTAAAGTTCCTTGATGCCAGAAATTTCCCAAACCATAATAGTCCACAAATTACCATTTACAGGAATGGTGAACATTTTAGTGAATACTTGGATGCTAGGCTAATGACTTTACCTACACTTCCTAATTAAAGTTTATAGACACTCATATATAGACATACAAATAACAAACAACACACAAAGTAAGACATACACAACACAATGATGTACATTTCACCCACAGACACGTTCACAATGCACATCAACACACTGAACACATGACACACCTGGCAAACACTCAACTTATCACTATACACACACATCACCAAAAACACATGGGGCTACACACAATGCAAAAATATCACAAGAAACATACCAACAACACACATGCACACCCAGCCACACGCTCATTACAATAAGCAGCACACATACTCCCATTACTGAGAGATATGATTTGGCCCCTTCTGACACACACACCCTTCCTGGTGGGGAGGCAGTCAGCATGGTGCGGGGAAGTTTATACAGTTATAGGGACTGTCATGAAACCGCCAACAACCATGAACATAGTAACATACACATTAGTAATATACACACAGACAAAAGCAAATAATACACATTCCTGCTCTCACCCATGTGTGTCACCCGCAAACACAGCTTGCACATACACTAGCACCTTGCTGACCTTGGTTCCTTAGTGAAGTTTGGGCAGTCTCCTCCAGCAGAGGTACAATTTCACTTTCAATGCTGAGCCCTCATCTGCTCAGCTGTGATGCAGGTATTTAAGATCACAGGCATGAATCAGGCATCCTTAATCACATGCTAGGAGGCTGACCACTCAGTCTACATGTGCTGATACAGAGCCCTGAGTGGGTTTAAAGAATAAGACTGTGAGTCAGATACACACTACACACACGCACATGCAACTATCAAACAACACACACACGAGCATACACACACACATGCACATGCACACACACGCACTCATGAACCCCAAATCACAAAAAACCCACAAGCACAAAGGCAGATCCACAGCCAAGTGCAGATTTCTAGCTCCCGCTGACCTGTGCTTGTCCTTGGTGACTTCAGACACCTTCTGCTCCAGAAAGCTGTCTAAATCCTCAGTTCCCCTTCAGGAGACTCAGTATCCAAACAAATAGAGCAAATATATGTGGCCTTAGTGCTTCTCCAGATTTTCGAGTTCCTTAACCAATACTGGCGCAATGAGCAAAAGGATAATGTTTTAATTTATAGCGAGGGGACTAAAAAAAATCCCTAAGTTTCTTGCTCATGGAGGAGCACCATAGGCTAATTGGACAAGTTCTTGGTGCCCTTTGGAAGCTACATGTCCAGGAGTCGGAGGGGACTGGAGTCCCAGGGGACAGTGTCCCTGATGCCAGCAATGCCTTTCTTGTTGAGCATGGTTCCAGCTGGGACAAAGGATACTTTAAAAATATTGTAATAATGGCTTGTTTACAAAAGTAGTGGCAAGGTTAAGGGAAACTATTAAGGGATGTTGAGGCACTCAGGGCTAGCAGCTGGAGAGGGGTGCAAGGGGAGGGAGTACTTATGAGAACCTGATGAGATGCATAGAGGTAGGAGAGAACACCTGGACAGGAACTGTGGACAGCCCCTCTCAACCCATGGAAGAAAAGAGAATAAAAGCCCCAACATCTCTCTCCTTCTGCATTTGATCTCTTGCTTGTGTTTCCATTAGCGAAATCCAAAGAGCCAAGGTGTCCATACAGGTCAGACTCTTGAGCCAAAACAGGGTAGAGAAGCCTGGAGAATGGACCTGGAGGGGTAAATGGAGACTATCTAGCCCACGTTGGTAAATATAACATTTTCTAGTTACATATTTATGTGCCAATTTGTGGGTGGCAAATATGCCGATATGTTTTATTCTATAGACATGCTTCTATTCTGTGTAAAATTTCCTCTACAGTTCCATTATAGAGACTGTAAAATCTTAAAGGGTAGGGATGACATTTTATAGAATTGCTTTCCTTGTTCTGCCTATGGTTCAGCAGTTCATATTCCGTCTCTGACGGGCTACAAGGAGAATATTAAAGAAGGTCATAATTGTCTGCCTGGATGCCAACTTTAAATTTAGTAATATACTGGTAGGATATTCTATTCTCTTTTATAGAGTAATTATAGACACAGGATTTTTTAACTTTTTCTTTTGAAACCATTAGAGACTTACTGAAAAGTAAAACTTCCATGAAAAATTCTCATATAAATTTCCCCCAGATTTCCCCAAAGTTAATATTTAACCATGTTTGCTTTATTGTTATGTAGGTATGCATTTATCTCAGAATCAAGCTATTAGATCATTGGTTGGTACACCACAGTGCATATTATCACAAGGAAGCTGACATCAATTTTTCCAATTACTGGTGGTTTTAACATCGGTCAATTGATTAAGGTGATTTCTGCCAGGTTTCTCTACTATAAAGTTAGTATTTTTATCTTTGAAATTAATAAATATAACTTAGGTTGATATTTTGAGGTTATGGAAACATGCTCTTTCTCGTTAAAATTTCAACCACTATATCTAACATCGTACTTCATAAGAATCAGGTGATTCTTGCCTGAAACAATTATCGTAATTGTGGTGGCCAAATGGCGATTTTTCTCATTCTATCAATCACTCTACATGCATTAGTCTCTGTCCAAGGAAAATTTCTCTTCTCTACCATTTAATTTTTGTCAATTTATCTATATCATATAGATTCATAGATTTTCATTTAACCTCTGAGTCATAATCCATTATCGTTGTTCTTCTTTTTGAAACTCAAATTGTTCCAGATTTGGTGATGAGGAGCTATTTGAGCTGGCTCCTAAGGCCATGATTCATTGATCACTTCCTTACTTTCAGGCTCAGCAAAATTTTCCGAGATCATCATTGTATTTCCTGGCCCCAGCCCTGGAATCAACCATCTTTCTAAGTAAGTTGGACCTCTTTTAGGGAAGAATGATATTCAGAGAGAAAATTTGTTAGGTGTGTTCATTGCTTAACACAGGAAGTATAAACAAGAAACTAATAAACTAATAGAAATGATTACTCGTAGGAGGTGCGTTGGGAATAGGGTGTAAAGAATGGGGGATGAGAATGAATAAATATTGAGATATAATACATAAATTTCAACCTATTTATATAGGTATTAAAAGTCGTGAGTTCAAACTGACATCTCCCATTCCAGTTTGACACCACAGAGTCCTTTCTAGCCTCTCCTTTTCCACATGGGGGACACCTTTCCCTGATAGTGGGGAGTCATTCCCTTTTTTAACAATATTTTTAGTTATTCACTGTATCCTGGAAGACCCTTTAAGTAATTTCAGGATCTTGAACCCATATCACAGTGGATGACAAAACTACTAAGTGCAGTTCAATATTTTTGCAGTTTTTTCCTAAAGGTATATTTGCAGAATTCTGTGTTCCATAATTACCTGGATTAGTTATTTAATTTCTCCTTCAGTCTTGTCATGCTATTCATTTGAAATATAATTGTCAGTCTGTTTTCTTTAAAAATTTTTCCCATTCTTTTTAGTTATTTATTTTTGAGTAAGTAAAAGATAACCTGCTCAAAATATACAAATAGGTGTATCCATCTCCCCAGACTTTCCATGCATTCCCACCCAGGACTTGTAGGAAACCTAACACATTAGTCTCTGACTCCATGTGCTCCTTTTTGCTCAAATGAGAAGATACCTCTATATTTTCTTATTTCTCTTTCAAAGGGTAGCTTACTACAGATATGCTTGGACATATTGCTTTTGTATATTAACAGTAAATCCTGGAAATCATTCCATATCAATTCACAGATATCTTTATCACCTGGAGAATAATAATATCAGAGCTAAAATTATGAATTATAAAAATATAATCTATTAATTGCTTTATATTATAGACTAGTGTGAATTAATTGATTTTAATTATTAACACGCTAAGGAAGAATATTCCTTAAAAGTTTAGATGCCTAATCTGGAGATTTGAAGGGAGTTAACTCAAATATGACAAGAAGGTAGAGAAAGGAAGAGCCAGAGGCCTGGGAATAGTTATTGACCAGTTAGAGAGGCAGTCTCATTGTAGCAGAGACTCCCCTGTAACAAGAATGACCTAGAAAGATGATTGCAATCTCTCATGTGACTTCAGGAAATCACTTGGCATCCTGGTCCAAATACCATGCTCAGTGTGGTGTTATGACTGAGATTATAAAAGATAAAATAATGACCCTCTCAAACGTTTCACACCTGGAGGCTTACCCTATTGGAGCAGGGCATAAGCTGGAATTCAAAGACAGAATGCTAATATTTTTGCAGGGAAAGCTAAATAATAATATTGGGCTGAGTTTAGGTAAGAAATTTACTCAATAAGGTCCTACAAATAGAAACTTAGAATTAGGGCCTAAAT